CGAAAATGGCGAGGCGAAGAACAGTTTAAATATGGAAGGCGTCAATACTACAACTATGACCAAAATACACAGAATTATTTCAGTCGTCAAGGGAATACCTAATTATAAAATAGAAACATTGATACATAAAACGCAAAATGAATAAATTTTTAATTCTATGATGAATACACTAGAGAAATTCTTTTTTTTTTTTTTTTTTTGGCATAACATTAAACAAGATTTTATTAACGTTGATCAACCAACCTAATGGCTATAAAACGTTGGTTATAAATATGAACAAAACAATAACATGGCACTTAACAGAAACGGAAACAAATTAACAAATTTTTAATGACAAGTGGAAAAAGCTAGTTACTGCTTTAATACTCGCGAGGTATGTCTTCCTCTTGTCCAGAGAAATTCTATAACACATTAATTGATTTTCTAAAAATACAATATATCGATATAAATTTTCAAAATCGATTTAATTAAGAATGTTGTATATGTTGCAGTTCTCAGAAGAATTTGAATTCCATCTACGCTAATAGCGTCTTCCCACACACCGTCAAAGCGCATCCACCGTCTGTTGAACAAACGGTCCGTAAGGTTTTGCCGTTCCGAATTATCTCAAATGGACCGGAGTTAGAACGCATCTAATACTGTCTTCCCACACAGCGCATTTGTGAGGAATGGTTGGGATAATAAAAAATAAAGTGAAACTCGTGTTCCGACAGAGCTGCGTTAAAGCGCATCCGCATCCGAACAGCTGATCGATCAGCTGTGGCTCATGAAAACGTAAACAAAGACTGTCGAATTGGCAGTTGCAAATTTGAAATGGAGCATTTACCAACGATTTTGGCTGTTTTACAACCGCAAAAGCACAGATTGCGTCAGAATTTATCCGCACTAAATTTAAATGAATTAAATGACAAGGAATTTTAGTTTTTCTAATGATTTTTCTCTAACAAAGAGCAAATTCCCTGAAGACTGTCTATAGATGGTATAGGCCTCCAAAATCTTTAAAATAAGGTAGAGGTAGGCGGTTTATATTAATTAGTAACTAGTGGGGACATGTTGGGGCAAGAATATACAGAAAAACACCAACAACTCTTTTGGGCATGTTTGTAGCTTTCGCGCCACATTTTAAATTTCATTTTTCTATTGTTCCTCGCCAACATTGTTTACATTTTTTGTAGTGTTGGTCAAATTTTCACTGTTCAGAAGAAGAAATTAGAGTTGCACCGAAAAACTATAGCCTAATACTGTCTTCCCACACAGCGCATTTGTGAGGAACGTTTGGGATTTTAAAAAAAGTGGAACTCGTGTTCCCACACACCGTCAAAGCGCATTCACCATCCGAACAGCTGATCGATCAGCTGTGGCTCATAAAACCTTAAACAAAGACTGTCGAATTTACAGTTGCAAATTTGAAATGGAGCATTTAAGAACTATTTTAGCTGTTGTACAACCGCAAAAGCACAGATTGCGTCAGAATTTATCCGCACTAAATTTAAATCCTATCGCATTCGACGGCACGAGAGCGCGCTCTTGCTCACCCGCCCTACTCAATCCAGTTCCAACGTCTTGGAGCTCCCAATGCCGAACCCCACCACCACCGGCTTCGATGGAAGACGCACCAACAACAAGCAGAGCTGCAATTTCTGCAAACACAGCAAAAGCAACAAAAACAACTAAACCAACGACCAATATTGCAAAATCGGTGCCAACGGCCGCAGCGCCAAATACAGTGGTAACAAAAACCGTGAGCTCCGATAAGCAACAAGCGGTTCCGGCCATACAGACTGGCATGGATCGCTACATCCAAATTAAGCGTAAGCTTAGCCCACATAACACGGTTGGTAACAAACCTAAGATCAACCGTGTCACCAAAAGCTACGACCCAAACAACTCCAACAGATTTTCTCCGCTAGCAGCTGATGAGAATAACCAAGCAGAGCCGGAGCAGGAGACTCAAAAACAGCCAAAGCCCCAACCCAAAGCTCAAACGCCCTGGTCAACAAAATTGTTGCGCTGGTCGGGGACGGAAACTTTCATGTTGTTCCGCTTATTAAGGGGAACATTTGCGAAACAAAAATTCAAGCCAAAACAGAAGAATACTTCCGGGCTGTGTCTAAATACTTTGTCCTATACATCATATATATCCCCACAAGCGACCAGCTAACATTATCCACTTTCGCTGATGACACTGCGATCCTCAGCCGTTCCAGATGCCCAGTCCGTGCAACATCCCAGCTCGCCAACCACCTCAAGGTAGTCGAGAAGTGGCTAGCTGACTGGCGTATCAAAATAAATGAACAAAAGTGTAAGCACATAACGTTCACTCTCAACAGACAAACATGCCCCCCGCTCTACTTGAACAGCACACTGATCCCCGAAGTCAACGTGGTAACGTACCTGGGCGTCCACCTGGACAGACGCCTAACATGGCGAAGACATATTGAATGCAAGAAACTTCATCTAAAACTAAAAGCCAGCAGCCTCCACTGGCTCATAAACTCCTGATCGCTCGTGTCTGGACTACAAGGTCCTGCTCTACAACTCCACACTAAAGCCAATATGGACGTATGGCTCCCAGCTCTGGGGGAACGCGTGCAGCACCAATCTAGACATCATACAGCGCGCCCAATCAAAAATCCTGAGAACTATCACTGGGGCACCATGGTATATTCGCAATGAAAGCATCCACAGGGATCTCGGCATTCCTGCAGTTAAGAACGAAATAAAAAAACAAAAAGCGTCCTACAAGGAAAAACTCTCTGTCCATCCAAATCCTCTAGCACGGGACTTGATACGGGTTTCCAGAAGAAGACGTCTACTACGCAACGACCTTCCAACCCAGCCATAATTAGTCAGGGCAATTTACTCTGTACCAGTCTACATGACTGCTAGTTAGGTAGTATTGTAAGATTTGATACACTTATTGTTAGTCTCATAAATGAGAAGATTCAATAAATAAAAGCAAAGCAAAAAAAAAAAAAAAAAATTAAATGAATTAAATGACAAGAAATTTTTATTTTTCTAATGAGTTTTCTCTAACAAAGAACAAATTCCCCGAAGACTGTCTATAGGTGGTATAGGCCTCCAAAATCTTTAAAATAAGGTAGAGGTAAGCGGTTTATATTAAATAGTAACATTTGGGATCATATTGGGGGAAGAATATACAGAAAAACACCAACAACTATTTTGGGCATGTTTGTAGCTTTGGCCCAAATTTTAAATTTCATTTTTCAATTGTTCCTCGCCAACATTGTTTACATTTTTCGTAGTGTTGGTCAAATTTTCACTGTTAAGAACAAGAAATCAAACAAAACAAATTTGTTCTTTGTTAGAGAAAAAACATTAGAGAAACTCAAATTCCTTGTCATATAAGTCATTTAAATTTAGTGCGGACAAAATCTGACGCAATCTGTGGTTTTGCTGTTGCTAAACAACCGAAAGAGTTGATAAACTATTCATTTTACTCCCACATCGGCTGCTTCAGCTATCTTTGTTAACGTTTTCTTGAGCCCCAGCTGATCGATTAGCTGCTATTGAATGCGGATGCACTTTATGTTGAAGATAAATGTTTCAAATTCAAAAATACCCACCAAGTCAGAGGGCGCTTTAAATACCATATCGATTGTGTCGAAGAGAGTAAATAAACAAGACTTTGATTTTCAAAAAATATCCTTTAGTTTGTTACGACCTGTTATTTCTCGATGGGGCAAGGCCGGCTAGCCAGTCGTCTCTCAGGTGGGATTTTCCTCATCTGCCCACAGGTCCCACCATATTACTCCAGCTGATCTGGAATCCGCAAAACTAAATAACAAAAAAAAACAAACAAAGAACGACAAGGTAAATAAACTATATATTTAAACAACAATTACGGCAGGACTAATTCAGCTCTCTCTCTCTCTCTCTCTCTCTCAGGTGTAGACTTGGGGCCTGGCTGGGATCGACCCGGACGCCCCTCCCTTCCAGAGATCAGGAACTTCATCTTCGGCAGATCTCGCCTTGGCAGGCGGACTTCGCCGGCCTACTCCTGGCTACGGGACTGGTCATCCTTTTCCCCCCCCCAATCGGAAACACTTAGCAATTCATCGTTATAATCAGGCCTGCTCCGGTAATCGAAAACGGCAATATTTATTCGTTTTCGTTTTTGAAAACGAGAATTGGTGCTCCGGTTTCCAAAAACGAAATTTTTTTTCGATTTGAAAAACGGGCACCTTTTTCTGGCTTTTTTTTATATAAAATCCGATCTTATTTACAAAAAGAAAAAAATAGGTTACTCAGTGGTCTACTGATGTTTATTCCACACCACCACAAGATCATTCTGGCAGGTAGTTATTTTATAAAAAATTTATTTCTGACCCCACCTCAGATTTGACAACAAAATTTTTGCCGTGTTTAACAAGTTTTCTCGTTTTGGCGATAGGTTGATAAATTCACCGCAAGAAGTTATCGCCAAGCTTTCCATATTGTTGGTGGAACGAAACAGCCAGTTAAAAATACTTATAAAATAGAAAAGAATACATTATTAACTTAAAAGGAGCGCCAAAATTGTTGTTTGTAAATAATGCTATTTAATTTGATTGCTTAAATGGTCAAAGTTGACCAAATAATTTTTTGTAAATAATGCTATTTAATTTGATTGCTTAAATGGTCAAAGTTGACCAAATAATTAATTGAGACCACTGGAATTAAAACTGTGAAAAATGTGGCAGCATCTTAAATGCCTAAATTAGCTTAACTCCATACATTTTTGCCTTTTCCCGGCTTCAAAATAAGCAATTGTAAATATAAAAGGCAGTTATTCATGTTGTTTGCTTTTTACGAAAAGAACATGTAACGGAACTGCATATTTTCCTGGGCAATGCCGGACTAGCTCAGTGGATGCCCAGGGGGGTACGAACCTATGCCCGCAGTCCGCACAATGAAACACCGATTAATCGGACGTCTCAAATAACACTCGTCACTAACAAAAAACACACCTCTAGCACAAAAATGTAAACAACAAAAATGACGACTTTTCGTGGAATGGAAATGGTGGCATTGATGGAGTCGCCACTACGCTCCCACCCAACCTGTGGTGCCTCCGGTGTGTCTTGGGGCACCACCCATCTCCGGCGGACCGGAGTCTAATCCAGGCGGCCTGACGGCCGGCCCATTTCCCCAGGTAAATACGTTTACTTCATTTTTATCTTAGTGTTTTAATTCGTTATAATTTTTCCGATTCTTATGGCTAACATTGGCAGGCATGAGTGAGTTCCAATGGGACTCATTCCCGGCGAAACGTTACCCTAGACCGGGATGCGTACGCGCCTAGACTGCGGCAGCGGAGAAGAAACGGCGGTCCGCTAGAGAAAATAGCCACATCCCCTTTTTTCCTGCTGGAGCTCCAAAAGAAATAATGGGGACGGGTAAGTATGCTTTCATCAAAATCCAACTTCTTCTACGCAGACTCCTTAATTGTGCAGAGCTTGTGTTGCACAAATCCCTGGCGCAAGTTAGGAGACGCGGAGAACAAGAACATTGTAACAATACGAGTAAGTTAAATAAATAAGCCTAACAAAAACAATATCATAATAAATAATTTAATCCTATTGTAGCAACTACAAGGCAGGATAGGCGGCTGGCGATGAGGCTTCGCTAGCATGCGCGGCCAGGAATGGCAGCAACTGATGGTGGCAGCGAGCCCGATGAAAATGGGGACGTACTGAGCCTACGCCACGTCGCAGCGGCGAGTATCATATCATTTGTGATATTAAAGGCTGCCAAAAGGAGGTTTTGGCAGATCAGCCCTGCCTTTACTGCTTGCTTTGCGATGCGGTCGTTCACGCTAAGTGTCTAGGCTTAACGGGTCGTATCGCTGACGCAATTTCTGCCAAAAATGGCTTGCGCTATTGTTGCCATGCCTGTCGTGAGGTGGAGAAGGATATGTTATCCTTCATGCGGCAAACCAAAAGCGGTTTTAGTGAACTTAGGGTCAATTTTCGCAAAACAAATGACCTGTTCACCGCGCTGGACGCTCAATTTAGCGGCATGAAGCTGCTAAGCGAGTCACCAAAGCGCAAAAAATCGGCTGCTGGTCGGCTGCAGTTTGGCGAACCCCAGCCGCCAAAGATTTGGCACACTCCCTCGGCACAGCCCCCGACACTGACGCCAACTCCAATGGTGTTGAGATCGGGAACGGCTAAAGATTCAGCATTCGAAGGAGCCGGGGCAGTAATGGCAGCAGATCCCTCAGTTGAGTCCGCTGCGGGGTCTCAATCTCTGACACCGCAGACTTAAAAAAAAATCTCAGCTATCCCAAAGGGCAAAATAGGGCTGAACCACTAGCAGAAGTCGGTAATGCTGCGTTACCAAAGACCATCACCGCTATTCCACCACTAAAAACAATATTTGTTTCTCGGCTTGCCCCTGATCTCGCATCGGAAGATGTACTAGCTCATATACTGAGCAAAACACAAGCCAAAAATGTGAATGTGGAAAAATTCAATTTCTCATATCCCAGAGATATCTCATCTTTCAAGATAAGTGTCTCCCGTGAGCTTTTTGACACAATTTGTTCTGGGGACTTCTGGCCCGAGCACGCTGTAGTTAAGGAGTTCGAGGTAAAAATAAAGAAAAAACGGCGTTCACGGCCGGCACAAACCACAGTGACAGCGGGCGTCACGGCAGTGCCAAAAAACTAAATACCTCTCTCCTACTTTCCTATCAGAACACTAGAGGCTTACGCAGCAAGCTCTTTAAATTGTATTCTGATAGTTTTTCGTTTGCATCCCAGGTGATTGTGTTTACCTAAACCTGGTTAAAGCCGGAGATTCTCAGCTCCGAAATTTTTCCGGGTAAGTACACAACTTATAGATTGGACCGTCTTTCCCAGCGAGGTGGTGGAGTTTTAATTGCCGTTGACTGCACCCTTAGTTCCGAACTGGTTCAAATTGACGATCTCACAGGTATTGAATTTATCTGTGTAAAACTATCATTTCCAGGTAGTTTTATCTATATAACCTGTTCTTACGTTCCTCCATCTGCTGAAGAGCCTATTTATTGGAAACACCTTTCGGCAATTCAGGCCGTTTCCAACATGCTTTCGGATAGAGACCAACTAATAACTCTAGGAGACTTCAATATACCTGGAGCTCGTTGGTCCTCAGATGGTACGTCCAATGTCCTCCAAACTGCGGCACAGCATGACCTGATAGATGGCTTGCTTGACATTTCTTTGTCCCAAGTTAACCATGTCTTAAATTCTTTAAATCGCTTACTAGATCTGTGTTTCGTCTCTGATCCTGTACACCTACAACTTAACAAGAGGTGATCCATTAACGCTTCCTGAAGACCTTTACCATCCTACTCTTGAAGTGACCATCGATTTGGGGACTGTCGTAAAGACCAAACCTGATCTGAGTCGCTCAGCTTCTAAAGTTCGCTGCTTTCGTAAGGCAAATTTTCAAAGGCTAGATATCTTGATTTCCAAATTTAATTGGTCTGAACTTTACAGATGCACTGACATGGCGTCCGCCGTGGATATTTTTTACAGTGCCATGAATGCGTTCCTTGCATCGTGTGTTCCGTTAGCCTATCCGTCGGTTTCTAGTAAACCACCTTGGTTCACCAAAGAGCTGACACGCCTAAAAAACGTTAAGTCTAGGCTTTATAATCGCTATAAACGCACCGGATCTCTCACTGTTCATTCAAGATATCTTAGTGCTCGGTCGGATTTCACCGTGCTTAACGCGCAGTGTTATAAAAGTTATTTAACTCGTTGTAGGGTTCAGTTCACGCAGGACCCGAAACAGTTTTATAACTTCGTTAACACTAAGCGAAAACCCAATCTACATCCTTCATCGCTTTCGTTCAAGAACGCTACAGCAAACTCTGATCAGGCCATCGCCGATCTCTTTGCCGACTTTTTCAAAACTAGGTATTGTTCCTCAAATACCTTAGATCAGACTTACTCTTTTGATTTGCCCAGGGCGAACCTAATTTTCAGTCCTATTTTAACCGAAAGCTCCCTTAGTTCGGATCTTCATCGTGTAAAACCAGTTTACACACCGGGTCCCGATGGAATACCAGGCTGCGTGGTCAGGTATTGTGCCGGAGCTCTGTGCAATCCCCTTCTGAAATTGTTTACCTTATCTTTAGAAACCTCAGAATTTCCCCTTATTTGGAAGGAATCATTTATCATTCCTCTCCACAAAAAAGGTAGCAAATCGGACGCCAGAAACTATAGAGGAATCTCTAAGTTGTCGGCAATTCCAAAACTTTTCGAGGGTGTAATTACTCCCCATTTGCAGCATTTATGCAGATCCGTAATTTCTCCATGTCAACATGGTTTTATGAGGCGAAGATCGACCACTACAAATCTCCTGGAACTCACCTCTTTCGTTATTAGAGGTTTCCAACATAACTTTCAAACCGACGTGATTTACACAGACTTCAGTAAAGCTTTTGACTCGGTTAATCACTCTCTTCTTGTAAGGAAGTTTGACTTAATCGGGTTCCCTCTCGATCTTCTTAAATGGATTTTGAGCTATTTGAGTGAAAGAACTCAAAAGGTTCTGTTTAAAAATGCTCCATCCAAATTCCTCAGAGTCACTTCTGGCGTCCCACAGGGTAGCCACCTCGGCCCGCTGGTATTTACATTGTTTATCAATGACCTCCCGCTGGTTCTAACGAATTCTAGAGTACTTATGTACGCTGATGATGTTAAGCTATGTTTGCAGTATAAGGAAAGCTCTTGCCAGTCAGACCTGCAATCGGATCTTAATAACTTTCAAGCATGGTGTCGTGCTAATTTATTACATCTCAATAGCTCTAAATGCAAGCTGATGACATTTTCACGTGTCACTCCCCAGTTTGCCACTAATACGCTAAATGATTGCGCTCTTGATAGAATATCTCTTGTTGATGATTTAGGCATTCGCTTAGACCCTAAACTTTCGTTCTCTGAACATATTTCGTGCATGGTTAATAAAGCCAAAGGCGTGCTCGGTTTTATTAAGAGGTGGTCGAAGGAATTCGATTCCCCTTATATAACGAAGACCCTTTTTACTTCGTTAGTTCACCCTATATTGGAGTATGGTTCATGCGTCTGGAGTCCTCAATTCGGAATCTATATTAACCGTAATGAATCTGTACAAAAGAACTTTTTACTTTTCGCCCTCCGTGGCCTACCTTGGGATGCTGATTAGAGGCTACCGTCGTATTCAAGTAGACTCCTATTAATTAGCTTACCCTCCCTAGCTAACCGTAGAACGATGCTTGGTGTCGTATTTCTTAACAACTTAATAAACGGTGATGTTGAAAGCCCCTATCTCTTAGAGCAGCTCAATTTCCACGTTCCTCGACTAACATCTAGAACCCTTATCCCTTTAGTAGTAAATCACTGTAGGCAGGAGTTTAGGGTTTTGTGTACGGATTACAACCGCCTCTCTGACATTATTATTCGTAGTGATAGCCCTTCCGTACTAAAAACTTGAATACTTGTTGAGTTAGCTCGTAATGTATCACGTTAGTCTAATTTTGAATGCGTTCTTATTTATTTATCGTAGTTATTATTTATTTACATTATATTATTTTTTTAATATTTATTTTGCGTGCGTTTTTATTTATTTATCGTAGTTATTAGTTTGTTACATCATATTATATTTTTTTTATATTTATTTTGCATGCGTTTTTACTTATTTATATATTTTAATATATTATATTTATTTTCTTATTAAATTTTATTTTTGTACTCTCGTAACTTTTTCATCGTTCTTCTCTTCCTTCATTCACCGCGTCTATCTAGTTCGCGATTCGTGCCGTACGTCACGCGGCTGCGCCCCTCGGTCGGTTGGGCGGGAGGTGGAAGCGAGACCACGCGCGAAAAAAAAAAAAAATTACCAGCGGAGCGAATAAATGCACTATCTGTATAAAACCTGCCGGTTCCAGACGGCGTTTCACGGAACGGACTCACCGGGTTCCAGGTTGGCCATGTGGATGGCTCAGGTAACGGCTGCTTAGAGGCTCGTTGAAAATTTTCAATCGCTCTTCTCCAGAAATCTCCGCCCAGTAACGGCGGCGGGTTAGCTTCACGCACAATCTCCGAATAAAGGATGCCGTTGCCAGCGATTCTTACACGGCCACGCTGAAATTACACATCCATTAAATAAAATTTTTTTCTTCACTTTCACCACTTGCACCCACGTTCTTGAGTTGATTCCTATTTTTCAGGAAATAAGCTGCGTTTATCTCGACCTCCCGTTGCTACTGCCGACTTCCATGCTGCCTATCCCTCCCTATATAGCCTTCGGCCTGTCACCCGAGTTCGGACTTAGGAACCGTTCTTTCCTCAGTGTAACGGCCGAGGCCAAGGGTAAAAACCCTTTCTCTTAAATCCCTTAACCTAAGCCCGTTACCTATTCCCGGTTCGCTCATTCAAATTCTTGCCCTAGGGGAGAGGTAGTGTGTGTAGTCGCCGGCCACGGATGCGCCGCGGCGGTGCTCCCCCGATGAACGCGTGGTGTGGGGGTTGTGGCAGGGCCCCCTACAAAATCGGATGCGGAGCGGCCGCGTGAAGCGGCTGAGATTGCTCACCTGCGACGTCACCCCCGTGGTGTCCATGGATGATCCAGGGAGTCCGATCTTCCAAACCGTAGATCTGGGCCAGCGGTGAGAGCGGTGAGAATATTTCCCGCGACAACCTTCATGGTTGTTGTTGCCTCCGTTCGCGAACTTCTCTCTCGTGGTAAATGTGGCTGCCCCCGCAGCATATGCCAGTCACGTCAGCAGTTGGCGAGATCAGCTGTGACCGAGTGTTGAGAACCTTCGAATATTGCACAGGTCTGGCAATATTCCGCCGCCACCAGGTGGCGCTGGGCCAACCGACCGGCAGGTGGCGCTATCGTGCCAGCTGTCGCGCAGACAAAAGCTACCTGCTACGACGTGCATATGCGATCTGCAAATGCAAAATGTAGCTCAGCTTTCAGGGCTGCTGCTCTTTATCCTTGGCAGGAGGTAGTGGAAAACGGGTGAAACCCAAACCCAAGGCTCGCACAGAGGAAAATTAAGGTGGTAAAGGTCATGGAGCAGACCAATAGCCAACCCCTATGCGGTACACCTTTTTAAACGGGGCTCTGGCGACCGAGCAGGAGCGTTAAAAGTTCCACCTGCTTAGTCACGGGGAAACCCCTGGCCACGAGAGACCTCGCAAGTGCACATGCCACCCCTCCCCTCCCCTCCACGTAGCGTCTGTCCCACAATGGGCGGCTACGTGATCTGCGTCTATGCCATAGTGGCCGGCAGATAATCAAGCCTGGCAGCAGGCCCCAGCTGCACCCAAAAATCCAGGTAGCGTCTGACCCAAAGTGGGCGGCTATCTGGTCTGCGTCTGAGCCATAGTGGCCGGCAGCTCCAACACCTGGCAGAAGGTATAAAATGCAGCCTAGCATTGGGCGACAATGCACCTATTTGGAATGCCAGAGAATAACTCAAATACTCCAGGTGGCAGTCACAATAGTGGAAATCCACCCGTGGGAATTCCCACGGTTAGGGCAAGGATTCTGGAGGCCCTACCTAACACTCCAACACACCCTGTCGTGGCGGTGGCTGACTTGGCCGCCACGCTAGGTAATGCACCAAGCGAGAAGGAAGAGAAGAGCAAGGGAGACGCTGCGGCTTTTAGGAAGAGCAGCCTGATGGCTCGATCCCCACCCCTCGTGCCATCCCCGGCGCCGGAGAGGAGTGCGGTCGGCGATCCCACCGACTCGGTCAAGAGGGGCAGAGACCCGGCCAGCCCGACAAGCGGGTCAAAGGGTAGGCTTCCAAAGAGAAGCAAAGCCGCCAAGGAGGAGGCCGTCGTCGAGGTTGAGCAGGAGATGACGCTCACTCGCAACGAGTGCGTCACCAAGCTGGGAAAGCTGCTGGACGAACTCCACAGTCTGGTGCACGAGAAGCAGGTGCGCCATATTAACATCGCAATGAAGGCGATGATAGCAGAGATGCGGAAGCTCAAAACCGGCATCGAGCAGTCGGCAGTGGAGACAGAGAGAACGAGCGAGCCGGAGAGCGTATGCTGCAGATGCTCCCAGATTCTACCAGCTGGGAAGCCGGTAGAAAGAAAGGCACAACAGACGGCGGTAGTCCAAAGGAAAGACCGGGCAGTCCAGACTGACCCGTGGAGAAGGGTCAGCCAACAAGACGGCATAGCCGGGGCTAGTGACGTCCCCAGGACATCGTGACGTAGCCCAGGCCACAGCCCCCGCAGCGCCGAGAAGCGGTGACAAAAAGAACGGCCTGATGCCCCAGCAATGCCTCGGGTACCGGAGCATCGGCATGGAAGTGCAGTAAGGCCACCTGAACCCGAGCCTGTGACTGCCGGGACTTCGTGGAGCACAGTGGCTAGAAAGAGGAAACAGACTCGCAGAGCACGCCCAGACGCGGTGGTAGTGGAAGCTCCAGGGAAGTGCTAGAGCGAGATCCTGGCCCTGGTCACGAGAAGGGAGGCCAGACAGCTGACCGATCTCGGAGGGGCTAGGGCGAATCTACTCCTCGAGGTAGACAGAGGGAGCACAGAGAGCGCTGAGTCCATGAGGGACAGCATCTCCAGGGTCCTGGGCGACGCTGCGGAAGTGCGAGCCCTGACGGAGGAGTCGAAGGTCTGCGTCTTCGAGATACGTAACCTCGACGCGATCACGACGGATAGGAAGATTCGTACCGCCCTCGCTGAGCAATAGCAGCTAAGCGGAGCAGCGAGGATACGAAGCCTCCGCCCCGGGTACGGGGAATCTAAAACGGCGGTCTTCAGCCTGCCATGCTCGATGGCAAAGGAAGTCAGACGGCGCGGCGAGGTCCGCATAGGTTGGACCAGGTGTAGCTGCTTCAGATGCCTGGAGCGTGGGCACATCGCCATCAGGTGTAAGAGCCCGGTGGACAAGAGCGGCTGCTGCATCAAGTGCGGCGAAGCAGGCCACAAGGCCGTTGCCTGCAAAAAGGAGCTAGCGAGTTCCGGAGAGGCAAACTTTCGACCCGGCAGCAAAAGCAGTCAGGCCGGTAGTGGCGGTACCGGTATTCCAAAGACCGTATGCAGTTAATTCAGCTCAACCTGAATCACTTCAGAGCGGCGCAGGACCTGCTGACGCAGACAGATCGCGCGAGGTAGCGGCGGATGTGGCCATACTCAGCGAGCCATACAGGGTAAGCGTGAGAGGAGAGTGGGACAAGGACCGCTCTGGCAAGGCGGCTCTTTGGCTCTGCTGAGACAGGCGACTACGGATGTCCAAAATCCTGGCAGCAGACGGATTCGTGCGGGCGGAAGTTGGCGGCTACTGCATCTATAGCTGCTACTTGGCGCCTAGTCTCCCACTAGAGGTGTTCAGTAGGATCCTGGACGACCTAAGCGCCGATCTTCGTGGGAGGCCCAAAGTTATAGTCAGAGGAGACTTCCACGCCTAGGCCCAGGAATGGGGATCTGTCTCGACCAACGCCAGAATGACGTATATACCAGGAGCGATCACGAGGCGATCCTATGCTCAGTGGGAGTATCCGCCGAAGATACACGCTCAGCACCGCGGCCCAGCAAAGCCTACCGGCCAGACACGCTGCGCACGCAGGCTTTCGCAAACGTGTTGGACGGCATGGCGGCCGAAGTGACGGGTGTAGCCAACGAGATAGCGAACCGCATCGCAACAACCCTGGAGCACGCCTGTGACCAGAGCATGCGACAGAGAGGCTCGTTCCAGAGGAACCATAGGACAGAGTTCTGGTGGAGCGATGTGATCGCTGACCTCAGGAGCACCTGCCTTCGAGCCCGGAGGCAGCTGACCCGTGCGCGCGGCACCTCACGAGTCGCAGAGCTTAGCGAGGCCTACAGGACGGAGAGGAAGGCCCTCAAGACGGCCATAAAGGACGCTAAGAGGAATCGTTTCCTGCAACTCTGCGACCAGGCGGAGGACGACCCCTGGGGCGGAGCGTATAGGATGGTAGTCAAAGGGCTGAGAGCCGGCAGTATAGCTCCATCGGACCCCGAAGCCTTGGACGGCATCGTGCGGGCGCTTTTCCCGACAGGATCTCCGGTGACCATGAAGCCCAGTGCGGAGCGTCTTCTAAACGACGCCTGCGAAGTCTCGGAAGCGGAGGTGATCCAGATGGGTAACAGCGTGCCCCCCAAGAAGGCGCCGGGGCCGGACGCTGTACCTAACAGAGCGTTGAAGCTGTCCATCGCCTTACACCCGAGGGCGTTTGCCACCCTGTACTCCAAGTGCTTGGAGGAGGGGACCTTCCCGGAGAGGTGGAAGAGGCATAAGCTACTGCTACTCGCCAAGTCGGGCAAGCCGCAGGGGGAGCCATCCTCGTATAGGCCCATCTGCCTCACCGACACCACCGGAAAGGTATTCGAGCGGATCATTTCAGCCAGACTGACTGCTGCCATCGAGGAGGCCAGTGGTCTCTCCCCAAACCAGTTTGGGTTTAGGAAGGGGAAGTCAACGCTGGACGCCATTGAGGCGGTGACGGAAATAGCCGAATCGGCTATCGCCGGTAAGAGGTGGAAAGGCGGCTCCAAAAGCTACTGTCTAGTGGTATCGCTAGACATAAGGAACGCTTTCAACACCGCGAACTGAAACCGAACGTTGGAGTCCCTCGCCGCCTTAAATATCCCAGGGTACTTCATGAGGATAGCACGAAGCTACTTCAGTGAGAGAGTGCTCACAGTGGCCACGGATATGGGTTCCAGAGCATATGAAGTCTCCGCCGGAGTCCCTCAGGGCTCCGTGCTGGGACCCCTGCTCTGGAATACCATGTACGACGGCGTCCTGCGGCTCCCAATGCCCAGTGGCACGACCGTTGTGGGCTTCGCTGACGACGTAGCGGTGGTCGTAGTCGCTAAGGAGCGCACCGCAGCAGAAGCTCTGGCAAACAATGCGATCAAATCGATCGAATCGTGGCTCGCGAGTGCGGGCCTGGAGCTAGCGGCGCAAAAGACGGAGGCAGTCCCGATATCGAGCCGGAAGATCGTGGAAACGGCCGAGATCCGAGTTGGCGGAGCCGTGATTAGATCGCAGAGGGCATAAACACCCGGCTATCGTTTAAGGAGCACCTGGAGTACACCCAGAAGGCCAGTAGGACGGCAGGAAGCCTCTCTCGGATACTCCTAAACACCAGAGGACCTAAGCAGACCATCAGGAAGCTGCTGATTAGCGTCGTAACCTCCCAGATGCTGTACGCGGCACCGGTGTGGACTGCAGCCGTCGAGACCAAGTCCTATATGCGGGGAGCGGAGCCTACATACAGACTATGCACTGTCCGAGTGGCAAGCGCATTCAGGACGGTCTCGGACGACGCCGCGCTTGTGATAGCGGGATTGGTCCCTCTGAGGGAGTTGGTCCGCGAGAAGGCTGAGCTGCGCGACGCGCTCTGCGGGCACCATAGGCCAGATCGAGTTGCGAAGTCCGAGGCCAAGATAGCGGCTAGAGGAAAGAGCTACGAGAGCTGGCAAGCCAGATGGGATGCCTCGTCCAAAGGGAGATGGACGTACAGCTTGATCCCCAACGTTGAGGCATGGATGGAGAGGAAGCACGAGCAGGTGGATTTTTACCTGACCCAGGTGCTGATCGGGCACGGCTGCTTCCGTAGCTACCTAAAGAGGTTCGGCCACGAGAACGAGGATGGCTGTCCGGAGTGCGGATCCGGCGTACAAGAAGATGCGCGCCACGTCGTCTTCGAGTGCCGCCGCACAGTAGCGCCTCTCGAACAATTAGCGTTGCAAAAATCGAAAAAGTCATGTTCGCAAAAACGATTTTAACCATACTTATTCGACAGGAAATTTAACAAGGATTCAGAATCTGCAATAAATTCAATTTTAAGATTTTTTTTGTAGAAGTTATGAGCATTTAAAGTTGAACTTTGTTTCGTTTTTTGCATCATACAAAAAAAAATGTGTAAATTGGTCGACTTTCAGGTAATATTACAAAAAAACCACAAAACCAATGGTCATGGTTTTAACTTTAAATGATAGATACATTCATAAACTATTAAAAAACCTAAAAAAAAAGACACTTTGGTTTGGGCTTCTACAGGTAAATCGCTACCTGCCAGGTGTCCATTTTTTCACCTTTTTCTGCCTAAAGTAGTCTATATCTTTTGACGCCAATGCCGGCCACTGACTACACTATGACTACAAGTTCCGTGGATCTTTCCTGGATCAGAATTAACTTTCATCGGCTGCGTCGAGCTGCGTCTGCGGAAATGCAACGCAAAAAACCAAAACAACTCAGGGTAATATATACCAAAATACCGACACAATTTCATACATTTCAAGAAATATACTAACTGTAGCGCGTGGCGGTTACACTTTGAATTAAAAAAAATTTTTTTTTTAAGTTTTCAAGTTATTTTTATTTGAGCAAATACATAAAAATAAACATAAAAAATTAAATAAAAATTTTTGTTTAAAAATTGTTTTCATTGAAAAAAAATTATTTTTTCACTTTGATACCCTTTAAAAAGGCGTATTTGTGGGCGTGGTACTTTATGCAGTACATATATATATTTTACAACAATTACCTGTCCAATGCCGTTTAAATTATTCGATTACCTTATTTGGTTCAAAAGATATGATTTTTGCAACGCTAAATGAGAAAAGGCGCTACTGTGCGACGTTTGGTTCAATTCCTTTTAACACGACTTGCAGTCCCTTGTTGCTTTTTAGTTGGTAGGTGTAAAAATTCTTTTTGGATTCTTCCAGGTATTTAGACACAGCCCGGAAGTATTCTTCTGTTTTGGCTTGAATTTTTGTTTCGCAAATGTTCCCTTTAATAAGCGGAACAACATGAAAGTTTCCGTTACTACACCTTATTGTTATTATGTTATAATTAATAAATTGAATACAAAAAAAAAACCTCTTGCCCTGGCTTCGCTGTGAAGACTCTGGCCCTCTGGTCGTATCGCTGGCGACTGTGGTCATACGCTGTCTTCAGGCTCTTGCGCACCTTCTCCTGCACGACTCGAAGTTTGTCAGCCGTCGGCATTCCGGCCATTTCGTGGTCACACATCGACTGCAGCTTCCTGGCCAGACTGTAGCTGGAACCGTGCAGGAACATGTGATGTCCAAAAATCGTGAAAAACGGCGCTTTGCCTGTAGCCGAGTGCTCGGCGTTCCGGATGGTCACATCTTCGATGTGAACTGCCGCCCGTTGTCAGAGTGCACAACCTCCGACACTCCAAACTTGAAGAATACCTCCGTAATGAGAAAATCTTCTACGTTTGAAAACTAACCATACAGCATATAGAATACTCATTTCATACAACAAAAATGGAACCAAAAATTTTTTAGCGACAGGCCCCAGAGACTTCGTGTGCGCCCGAAGCGATAGGCCCCGTAGCTTCGCGTGCGCTCGGGTTTTTCGCTCTCTCATTCTTATGCTCGCACACTGGTTGCGAGAGTTCAGTCGCAGAGTGGCGCATCTTCAGAAGGTTGCTCTGCGCTTGAATTCTTCTTTAAATGTATGCGTGTTCATGCATCCACGTACACGGGTGCATGTGTGCGATCATTTCATTTTGGCCCAGCAAGAATATTTGGTCTTTTGCTACTTTTCATACTAGGTTCCCTAACAATATGGGCATATTCACTATTGGGTTAATGATAAAAATAAGAATGTTATAAATCATAAAAAAAAATAATAATAATATATTTATAAATGTTTCAGCATACATTTCATATTATATATTGTAACGAATTTCGGCTGGGCGTAGGAGTTGCCGGCCGAGATCACTACGGAAAGCCGAGCGGAACTTTTATTTAAGGTGTGTCTGCCGAGAACTCAGCGGTGCCAATTGCCCCGTCGAAGCCTCGCAATGATAACACGAGTATTTCGGGTGTATTTCGTACTTAATTTATTTTAACCCAAAAATCGGCGTGTTGTTTTTCAGGAAGTCGGGCGAAGAACAAGAGAAGAATCAGAGAGACCAGGCATCCTGGCTGTCAGATTCTCGGGATTGCGCAGCTTAGCTCGTTTTGAGTTCTGTGCCTTGTCGCGCAGCTTCGCGCGTTGCCGTACTGGCTCGAGGATCGAAAGCTCTTTTCGGCGGCTTTCGTTACAATATTCACACATTTCATATCAATAATAATATATTTCTTAATTTTTCAGCATACATTTTATATTTGTTTACAAATTCAAATCACCCGCAGCAGTGAAATGATTTGCATACGAAGCTACGGGGCCTGTCGCTTCGGGCGCACACGAAGTCTCTGGGGCCATCAA